CAAGCGATCCTCCCACCTCAGCTTCCCAAATAGCTGTGACTACAGATCTGCACCACCACACCTTGCTAAAATTTTTGAATTTTAATAGAGATGAGATCTTGCTACATTGCCTAGACTGATCTTGAACTTCTGAGCTCAAGTGCTCCTCCTACCTCGGCCTCCCAAAGTTCTGAGATTAGAGGCATGAGCCACGTGCCCAGCCCATATAGATTTAACTATAGAGGCGTTATAGCAGGCTAACCAATCCCTAAGTATTTCATTTGTTTTTTGGGATGGAGTTTTCCTGACAATTCTCTGCTCCTTTCTTCTTCTAAAGGACTTTTATAATCAACTTGTCCAGTTGCAGAAAAATCCATCTGATATTCTTGTTGGGACTGTGCTACAATTAACAGGGAGCATTGCACTTCCTATTTCTTCTCTAGTTAGTTTTGACAAGTTTAAATTTTTTCTAGGATTTTACCCATTTAACCTACGTTTTCATGTTTACTGGCTTAAAGTTTTTATCATCTTCTCTTACTATAAATATTTTACATTTTTCTGATTTTGTACTTCTGTCCTTTTTTCATTCTTAGTCTTATTTATGTTTTCATCTCTTTTTTCCTTGAGCAATCTTTCCAGAGGGTTGTCCCTTTTCTTTGAATTTTCAAAGGAGTAAACTTTTGTCCTCTCTTATATGTCTGTTTTCTATTTTGTGTTGGTTGTTTAACTCACTCATTTTTATTTTTAAATTTTTACTGATACAAGTATTAAAAGTTATAATTTTCCTGTTTTAGCTTTCCGTCACACACATTTTGATGTGTTGTGTTTTTATCCTTCCTTTTTTTTATTTTTTTTATTTTTGAGACAGAGTCTCTGTCGCCAAGGCTGCAGTGCAGTGGCACGATCTCAGCTCACTGCAACCTCCACCTCCCAGGTTCAAGTGATTCTCCTGCCTCAGCCTCCTGAGTAGTTGGGATTATAGGCATGCGCCACCACTCCCGGCTAATTTTTGTGTTTTTAGTAGAGATGGGGTTTCACCATGTTGGTCAGGCTGGTCTCAAACCTCTAACCTCATGATCTACCTGCCTCGGTCTCCCAAAGTGCTGGGATTACAGGCGTGAGCCACCACACCCAGCCTCGTCTTTATTTTCGAGACATTCTGAACTTTGTTTTATATTTCTTTATTGACTTAAGAGTTATTAGAGGCTTTTAAATTTCCAGGTGAAAGATTTTTTGCTTTTCCAGTTGTCATTAATTTCTAGTTTTATTGTATTACGGCCATTTCACACATGCGGTTGAGAAAGACTCAGAGAGGTTAAGTGAGTTGCCCAAGAACACATATTTAGTAATGAGTGGGGCTGGCCTGGAAACCTCAAAGTCCATTTTCCTTCCACTGCCCCGCCCTGCCCTGCAAGGTTCATAGGTAGATATGCTATTTAATCATTCCAGGCAAAATTCCAGCAGGTGTTATTACGAGACGCTGAAGCATAATTGATGAACTGGTTATGAAATATTAAAATTTAATTTTTGTGGGTAGGAAATTAAGTGTTGTTAGAAGTAGCAATTAAGTGGATTTTTTCTTAATAAACTAAAGTGACTCTCTGTCTAGGCAGAGCCTAGAAAGGTTTGCTGAAGGCAGAGAAGATGGGGGTGTAAGCCCAGGAAGCATAGGTGAGGGTGGAAGATACAGTCAAAAAAGCCATTACAAGGATTGTTACTGAGTTAGCCAGGCGGATCCGTTTGCCGGGACCCTCAGAGGAGCCTTACGAAAATAGTCGCAGAACTGTTCTCCTGGGGAAAGACAGCAAAAGAGTGTATCTACTAGCTCCTGTCCACCAATAGTCAAAGGTAGACCCTGGGCTTTACCTTCCCACACCTCTAGGCTGGGCAGGAGTTGACACTGATTGATCTGTGCCCCTGCATGGCTTGAGACAGGCATCACTGTCCCTGGGCAAAGCTGGTGGAAGTCGGCTCAGAACAGTTAGAGAGTAGGCAGAGGCCAGGTGCAATGGCTCACGCCTGTAATCCCAGCACTTTGGGAGGCCGAGGCGGGAGGATCACTTGAGGTCAGGAGTTTGAGATGAGCCTGGCCAACATGGTGAAACCCCGTCTCTACTAAATACAAAAATTAGCTGGGTGTGGTGGTGCGTGCCTGTAATCCCAGCTACTTGGGAGGCTGAGGCAGGAGAATTGCTTGAACCCGGGAGTTGGAGGTTGCAGTGAGCCAAGATCGTGCCACTGCACTCCAGCCTGGGTGACAGAGCAAGACTCCGTCTCCAAAAACAAACAAACAAAAATCTGCACATGATTCATGTGTACTGTTAATGCAGCCAGTGAAATACATAGCGTCTGGCAAATAGATTAATTCACACTCCACTGACACACGTTTTCCATTCCCTACTTGGAGACTTGAGGCAGTTTGCTTAATTTTCCCCAAGAAATGAAAGGCTGGAGTCACTGCGTCTGTAGTAAAATGGTGATTGTCATATTCTTCCCCCGACACAAATGTCGTACACTGCTGCGGCACTGTGATGGAATTCTAAGTTACTATATGAATGCATGGTGCTATTATCATCAGTAAATGGCCCAGCTGAGGACAAAAGACAGGGCAGAGCTGGAGAGTAAACTGCTTGTGTGCGTCTCCCGGGAGCGCCTTGCAGGGCTGCCCAGTCGCCATGTAGGGCTGCCCAGGAGCACCTCCTGCCGCAGGAGTACGTGGACAGTCATTCTCCAGCTTGGTTTAAAGGTAAATAGTATATGTTCTACTGCGCTTCAATAGGCAACATTTTTGTTGTTGCTCTTCTAAGCCTTTCTGGGAAAAACCCACATGCTACAAAATACAGGCTCAGATTCATGAAGATATTTGGACTCCAGAATACATTTTAAAAGCAGGTGAAAGTTTTCCTCTCCCTTACTAATCTCCCTGTGGAAAATTACCAAAGACCTCATTGGGGACGTAATTGAAGGAAAAAAGTCGCTGTCATCATTAAAGTTGTTGCTGTGACTCTGATTATCACTTCTTCAGAACCCGGCTCTATGTGGAAACTAAATGAGTAAACAAATTGCCCATGAGGGAAAGGAAAGCCTTCCAGCTGTACATGACAAGCAGGTGATGAACTTGGTTCAATCTGGGAGGAGAAAGGCGGGTGGAAGATACCGCCCCCGACTCCAGTGCTACCAACTGTTACCCGTTAGCCTCACCTGGAGATGGCTGAAACAGCACAACCAACCTCCAAACACCCGGCCGCTGCAGCCAGCTGTCCTAGAACTGAAAGGACACCAGTTCCTCTTTAAATCTCCGGGTGACACTCATTGACTCATATGCGTCATAGTTAATATGAATAAGACTTTCCTGGATTAACTTAGATATAACTAAATTGCCCAGTGAGGAGAAGCAATTTTCATTTACAGAAAACTATTACTGACCATAAAACTCTTTACCCGTGACACTCACTAATTACTGATGACCCAAGGCTGTGACCGCGTGCTTCCCAGGCTGCCCCCACACAGCAGGGGCCCAGCCTCTTCCTCCTCCACTGCACAGAATGAGCAAGCTGCCTGCTGCTCATCTCGCCATGTCTTTCTGAAACCAACGAAACCTATCTGGTTTTGTTCTGCATTCGTGAATGATGCTTGCTGTTCAGAAAAATGCATGTGTTGGTTGACAAAGTCTAACGAATAAAAAATGTCAGTGTGACTTCATGGAAATGTTGGTTCTCATCAGTCCTTTTCCCCAGATCTATTATTGCAAACTTGAAATGTTTTCTTCTACCTCACTCTGGGAGACGTACTGAAATAATTGTGTCACCGCTCCAGTGAAAGCATCCTCATTTCTGTCCTCCTAGGGACTTTGACTGGAGAAACTCAACTGTCTGCTTTCTCAAAACCTGTACTTGGATTACTTTGCATCCCTAACTGAAATCTTCCAGCCCTCAAGATCAAGGCTATGATATACCGTGGTGACCAACTTCACCTGCCCCTCAATCCCACTAAGCTTTGGGGAGATTCCCAGGGTGGTGTCTCACCACCACCACGTAGGTCCTGATCACCCCTCTCAGCAAGGACTGTTTCAGACTGTCCCCGCTTCTCAGACACCAAGCCCCTCCCCCCAACTCAATCACAACAGAAGACTCGGTTTCCTATCTTACACAGAAAATGGCTGTTACTGGTGGCTACCAGACCCGCAAACCTCCTTGTATTTTCCATTCTTCCCTGCTTCCTGCCTTCCTCCTGTCCAAGGCCAAGGTCTCCGTCTGTGCCCTACATTGCCCACCTTCTCTGAGATCTCCCCCTGGGACCTCAGCGTCTCTCTCAACCACTCCCCTCTGCCCCTCTGCCCTCTCCACTCCTCCAGTTTCCTCCCAGCTCGGTAGAGCTGTCTGTGGCAGCCACTGCTGCTGGTTCCCTGTCATCCAGTTCCCTTTTTCCTTTTGGAACTGAAGCCCCCTGGGTTTGGTTGGCCACACACTGGTGACTACAAAGGCCAGACTCTCTCACAGGCCGATGTGGCCATGCCGCTGAGCTCCCAGGACGCATCTGAAAAGACACTGCTTGTCCTTGACCCCTTTCCCTTTCTAAACACTGCAGCATGTACATAAACAAGTGGGCTGTCTTTGACCGTGCAGATGAAGACAGCACCCTGAACACAGCAGAGCCATGTGGAGGAGGCGGGCTGCACGCAGGCTGACCTCAGGCAACAGAGCCACTCACCCCACAGCCCTATCTAAGTCTGCTTGGGCTTTTCCATGCAAGAAAAATCAACCTTCTGTCTTGTCTAAGTCACCGTCATCTGATCTATGTGAAAGCAGCTCAACCAATATGTTAATTAAGATATTTTCTGATGGGAATGTAAATTAGTATAGCCATTATGGAAAATAGTGTGGAGGTTCCTCAAAAAAATTAAAAATAGAACTACCACATGCTCTGTATTAGTCCATTCTCACATTTTGTAATTTATAAAGAAATTACCCACCCACCTGAGATCGGGCAATTTACAAAGAAAAGAAGTATAAGTGACTCACAGTTCCACATGGCTGGGGAGTCCTCAGGAAACTTACAATCATGGTGGAAGGCACCTCTTCACAGGGCTGCAGGAGGCAGAATGAGAGACAAGCAAAGGGGGAAAAGTCCCTTATGAAACCATCATATCTCATGAAAACTCACTATCACAAGAATGGCGTGGAGGTAGCTGCCTCCATGATTCAATTACTCCCACTGGGTCCCTCCCATGACATGTGGGGATTGTGGGAAGTACAATTCAAGATGAGATTTGGGTGGAGACACAGCCAAACCATATCATGCTCTAATCCCACTACTGGGTATATATCTGAAGGAAAGGAAATCAAATCAGTCTGCTGAAGAGACATCTGCATGCCCACGTCCACTGCAGCACTATTCACAACAGCCAAGATATGGAGCCCACCTCAATGCCCATCAGTAGATGAATGGGTAAAGAAGACGTGGCATTTATACATGGAATACTATTCAGCCCTAAAAAAGAAGAGAATCCTGTCATTTACAATGACGTGGATGAACCTGGAGGACATTATGTTAAGTCAAATAAGCCAGGCACAGATAGACAAAGAACGCATGATCTCACTCACATGTGGAATCTAAAATAGTTGGATTCACAGAAGCAGAGAGGAGAATGGTAGTTACCAGGAGTTGCCAGGAAGGTTGGGGGAATGTCGGTCCAAGGATACGAAATTTCATTCCAGGCACAGTGGTGCTTGCCTGTAGTCCCAGCTACTAGACGGGTTAAGGTGAAATGATGGCTTGAAGCCTAGGAGTTCCAGACCAGCCTACGCAACATAGCAAGATGCTGTCTTAAAATAAAGAAATAAATAAAATGGAAAGGCAAGACAATTTCTAAAGAAGAATACAAAATTTCAGTTAAGAAAAATAAGTTCAAGAGATCCCAAAGTGCTGGGATTACAGGAGTGAGCCACCATGCCCAGCCAATAATATATTGTATTCTTAAAAATTGCTAAGAGACCAGGTGAGGTGGCTCATGCCTGTAATCCCAGCAGTTCGAGAGGCCGAGGCAGGCAGATCACTTGAAGTCAGAAGTTCGAGACCAGCCTGGCCAACACAGCAAAACCCTGTCTCTACTAAAAATACAAAAAAAAAAAAAAAAAAAAAATTAGCCGGGTGTGGTGGTGCATGCCTGTAATCCCAGCTACTTGGGAGGCTGAGGCAGGAGAACTGCTTGAGCCCAGGAGGTGGAGATTGCAGTGAGCCAAGATCATGTCACTGCACTCCAGCCTGGGCAACAGAGCAAGACTTTGTCTTAAATAAATAAATAAATAAATAAATAGATTGCACCACTGCACTCCAGCCTGGGTTACAGAACAAGACTCTGTCTCAAAAAAAAAAAAAAAATTGGTAAGAGAGTAGATTTTTATTTTATTTTATTTTATTTCATGCAGGCTGGAGTGCAGTAGTGTGATCTCGGCTCACCGCAACCTCCAACTCCTGGGTTCAAGCGATTCTCCTTCCTCAACCTTCCAAGTAGCTGAGATTACAGGTATGTGCCACCAGGCCCGGCTAATTTTTGTATTTTTAGTAGAGATGGGGTTTCGCCATGTTGGCCAGGCTGGTCTCAAACTCCTAATCTCAGGTGATCCTCCCACTTCATCCTCCCAAAGTGCTAGGATTACAAGTGTGAGCCACTGCACCCGGTCAAGAGAGTAGATTTTAAGTGTTCTCACCACCAAAAATAAAAAAGGTAAGTGTGCATGGTAAAAGAAAAACAAGGGCCGGGCGCAGTGGCTCATGCCTGTAATCCCAGCACTTTGGAAGGCTGAGGTGGGTGGATCACGAGGTCAGGAGATCGAGACCATCCTGGCTAACATAGTGAAACCCCGTCTCTACTAAGAATACAAAAAATTAGTCAGACGTAGTGGCAAGCGCCTGTAGTCCTAGTTACTTGGGAGGTTGAGGCAGGAGAATGGCATGAACCCGGGAGGCAGAGCTTGCAGTGAGCTGAGATCATGCCACTGCACTCCAGCCTGGGCAACAGAGCAATACTCCGTCTAAAAATAAATAAATAAATAAATAAATAAATAAATAAATAAATAAATAAGAGTGTGTGGCAGCAGATTTATTAAGTGTTACTTAGCTTGATTTGGCCATTCCATAATGTACAGTCGCCGTCCCTTAAGCACACCTTTGCTTCTTGTGGTTTTAGTTACCTGTAGTCAACCTCGGTATGAAAATAGGCAAGCACAGTGCAAGAAGATATACTGAGAAAGGGAGAGAGAGAGAGAGCACATTCACACAACTTTGATTACAGTAAATTGCTGTAACTGTTCTATTTTAACTAGTTTTTGTTGCTAACTTCTTATGGTGCCTAATTAACGGATGAAACTTTGTCTTCAGTATGTATGTGTAGGACAAAGCATATTGCATATGGGGTTAAGAATGAGCTGTGGTTCCGGCATCCACTGGGGATCTTGGGACACGTCTCCCAGAGATAAGGGGGAACTACTGTACATCTTTCAAAACACCATGTTGCAGACCATAAATATACACAAATTTAATTGACAATCAAATAAATAAATATATATATTTTTTGAGACAGGATCTCGCTCTGTCACCCAGGCTGGAGTGCAGTGGCCCAATCACAGCTCACTGCAGCTCGACTTTCCCAGGCTCAGGGGATCCTCTCACCTCAGCCTCTCATGTAGCTGGGACAACAGGCACGTGCCACCATGCCCCGTTAATATTTTGTATTATTTTGTAGAAACACGGTCTCCTCGAGACCAGTCTGGCCAACATGGTGAAACCCCATCTCTACTAAAAATACAAAAAATAGCCAGGTGTGGTGGCGGGTGCCTGTAATCCCAGCTACTTGGGAGGCTGAGGCAGGAGAACTGCTTAAACCCTGGAGCCAGAGGTTGTGGTGGGCTGAGACTGCACCATTGCACTCCAGCCTGGGTGACAGGGTGAGACTCCATCTCAAAAAAAAAAAAAAAAAAAAAAAAAGGGAAGAAAGAAACAGGGTCTCCCTCTGTTGTCCAGGCTGGTCTCAAACTATCTACCTGCCTTGGCCTTTCAAAGTCCTGGGACTACAAAGTAATTTTAAAAAAATAGATGATGTCTGTACCTCCCCTCTACCCACTGCTTCCACTCAGCCCTCACCTCGCTGCTGTTGTGCTCTCCCCACCACTGAGCTGAAGCTGCCCCTAGTCAGGTCCCTGTGAACACGCCAGCAGTAGCTCCCACAAGGCGAATCAGCCTAGACCTCCCTGCAGGCTCTGGTCCTGCTGCCCAGTGTGGCCCTCTGGTCATCACATCCCCTTAGTGTCCTTCTCATGAACTCTCCAGCCCCCAGATACTCGCTACAGCTCCCTGCACTGCCGCCTCCTTATACTCACTAGGCACCTTCCAGGGGTGATTCTATCTGCTACCACGTGTTCAAGGGCAGAGACAATGGCTCTGACCAACTTAAGTTAAATTGGAACTTACTAGAAGGATGTGGAGTAGCTCATAGCATAGTGAAAGGTGAAGAACCAGACTTAGAATAAGAACAGGGACCCAGTTAATAGGAACAGAAATCATCTCAGGCCGTTCCTTCTGAGATGACTCAGCTCTAGCCATTTTTAAGTTTTGTGTTGTCCAGGCGTGGTAGCTCACACCAGAAATCCCAGCACTTTGGGAGGCTGAGGCAGGTGGATGACCTGAGGTCAGGAGTTCGAGAACAGCCTGGCCAATGTGGTGAAACCCCATCTCTACTAAACATACAAAAATTAGCCAGGTGTGGTGGTGCGGCCTGTAATCTCAGCTACTTGGGAGGCTGAGGCAGTAAAATTGCTTGAACCCAGGAGGCAGAGGTTGCAGTGAGCCGAGATCGTGCCACTGCACTCCAGCCCGGGTAACAGAGCAAGACTTCAGCTCAAAAAAAAAAAAAAAAAAAAAAAAAAAGCACATCATTCCAATCTGGCCCCCCGCCTGCCCAGCAGCCATGTGTTCTGTTTCACACACAAACAATTTCAGAACTGCCCCAAGCAGAACACTATTATAGATGCAAATGAAAACCAGCCTCCTTATAGACCTCCTTTTTTGCTTTTTTAAAAGAGATAGAGGGTCTCTCTTTGTCACCCAGGGTGGAGAGCAACGTTGCGATCATACTCATTGCAACCTTGAACTCCTGAGCGTAAGCGATCCTCCTGCCCCGGCCCCCCAAGGAGCTGGGACTACAGGAGTCACCATGCTCTCCCTTAAAAACTTTATAAGCCTCCAGTGCATCCAGGCTTCAGTTCTGGGTCTGGAGGAAAGCCTGTTCTTCCTCTAGTTCTATTACAATCCCATCTCAATATGAGGCAAACCATGGATTAAAAGGTAAATTTGGCCAGGCACGGTGGCTCACGCCTGTAATCCCAGCACTTTAGAGGACCGACGGGGGAAGATGGCTTGAGCCCGTGAATTTGAAAGCAGCCTGGGCAACATGACAAAACCCCGTCTCCAGAAAAAAACAAGAAATAGACAAAAATTAGCCAGGCAATGTTGATGTCCACCTGTGGTCCCAGGTACTCAGGAGGCTGAGGTGGGAGAATTGCTTGAGCCCAGGAGGCGGAGGTTGCAGTGAGCCGTACACTCCAGCCTGGCTGACAGAGGGAGACCTTTTCTCAAAAAAAAAAAAAAAAAAAAAAAAAAAAAAGAGAGTGGGGGCATTGAGCTGGGTAAGGTAGCTCACGCCTGTAATCCCAGCACTTTGGGAGACTGAGACAGGAGGATCACCTGATCCAGGAGTTTGAACCAGCGTGGGCACCATGGCAAGACCCTGTCTACAAAGACAACAAAAATAAAAATTACCCAGGCACGGTGGCACATGTCTGTGGTCCCCAGCTACTTGGGAGGCTGAAGCAGGAGGGAATCAGCCAGGCCCAGGCTGGAGGAGCAGTGGTGCGATCTTGGCTCCACAGCAACCTCCGACTCCCAGGTCTAGCGATTCTCACCATCGGCCTCTCAGCCTCCTGAGTAGTTTGGATTACAGGCGCCTGACTTCATGCCTGGCAAATCTTTGTATTTTTAGTAGAGATGGGAGTTTCACTGC